CATTAGCACCTCTAGTAATATATTTACTGGGAAAAATGGTGACGTGTTCAATACTTATTTTACCCGCTGTATTTATCACATTACGTACACTGAAACTGTAACATTGGACCTTATAACACATTCAAAGTTAATGTCCTTGACCTTTGTGCAAGCAGTAGAGCCCACATATTTGTTTTTAACCTTTATTTATAAATAACCATGAATCACTAAGACCCAGGATGGATGTAATTAAATTTAATAGCACAGGAGAACATACAGTATTATATACACTTTTTTGTTTTTATTTTACTGATGATGTTTTCACAAAGACAAAGAGTGTCATTAAAAGATTGGAAGGTGTTGGCTACATCATGGCATCAAAGATATCATTCCTAGCAGGAAGATGACAGCTGGAGAGGCAACCAAACCAGGAGAGAACCCAGAAAGTCTAGATGAAAGAAAATAATTGATTAAAGACATATATCTTTGGGATTCTGAACTGTATTAAAATACCTGAAAAGAACACATCACACACACAATGCTTCTTATTATTTTTGTATTGCTAAAAAGGGAACTTTGTATTGTAAAATACAACTATTATATTTATGACTGCATAGATGTAAATATCATTTATCGTAATACACAAGAATTTTTATTATTTGATCCAAATATATTTTCCATCGTACTAACACTTTCCATGGCATCATCTTTCCTTGGCCTGCCATAATGTTTCTTTTTTTCAAGTGTAAAACATGATGAATGTGTTTTTACCTTTTGTCATCTGTTGTTGTTGGAGGGCGGTTAGTCAATGTATTCCTGTAACAGTGACAGCATTATTTGACCACAGAGAAAAGCAATACAATAACTACATGAAAAACAATGGGGTCATGCAAATAAATACATTTACTATTAGAATAAACATTTTTCAGCATACTAACACGATCGATTGCCTTAAATATGTAAAAAATTACAGCAATGTTTGGGTTGCTATAATGATTTTTTACATATTTTTTGTAATGCATAATCAATGTGTAGATACCTGTTGTTAGTTGTTGTTCTATGAGGTGGACTGATGGTGGATGAGTTCCTGTAAAAGTACAGAATATTTGACATGGAAACTGAAATCAAGCTTTGATGATAAAGCCAAAATCTTTTCAAGCTTTGATTTACAAGGTAAAAATGTTGCAATGAGATTATACAGTATACACTGATAAGTTTTCTCACCATGTTGAAGCTAGGCCTTCAAACTGAGGGATGGGAGAATGTGTAATGCTCGTTGGTCTCACTTGAGGACATGGCAGAGTACTTCCATTAACTAGAGGAGTGATGTCTATTAAAAATAAAAAAAAAATAAGGTTGAAAAGTTAAAGTCTGAAAGCAAAACTTAATTTTTTCCCTATACAGTACAGAATTTTTTTAGTTGTCTATCCTGCCATTCAAGTTGATGAAAACCTGCATTCCAAAGTCCCACAAGCAGTAAGGCATATGGTGAAGTACCTACTGCATAAATTTCAAACTACATCCAAACATTACTCTCAAAAACTTCTGCCCTTTTTATACATTGACAATTGGAAAAAGTGGAGTTTTTAATCTGAGCAGACAACTCTATTTTTTAATCAGATAATGACTAAATATATAAATAGTTCATCAGTTTGAAGGGTTTAGTCGCGCCTTGTGGGATTTCAGCTTACATTCAGGACAAATGTTGCTTTTCCTTCACACAGACTAATATACTTGCTAATGATGTTCATGGTAACAGTTTTTTTTTTTGCAAATATTGCTGGTGCCTTCATACTTTCCAAATGTTTTTTTTTTTTTTTTGCTGGTAGGCTCCATATATTTTTATTTATTTCGTTATTTATTGAATACCCTTCTCAGTTGATTTACTTGAGTAGTTACTTAGTTATGGCTGCTTTTTCTGAATATCCCTCAGGCAACCTGATCAGATTCCCAAGGACCTCAAGTGACTCTTTCCAATGTGGAGGAGGAATGGCACTAAGTACCACCCATATGACGAAGCTCCTTACCCTGTCAGGTGTAATTTTAGGGAATGAAAGTCAAGTAGACTTAACAGTAAATCAAGAGCTTCTTGTTTCACCTGTCTACAGAAAAACAAGCACAATTACATGCATTCAACTTACCTTCAAAGCTAAATGTAAAGATGGCACTCCCTCCCTTGAGGAAATCTCTGAATTGCATTTCTTCCAGTGTCATGAAAGATAGGTGCCCCCACAGCATGCCACCAAAGACTAACTCAGCATTCTCATAAAAAACTCCTCTCCCAGCCTCTTGAGGATTGTCCCAGAGAAAGGTGCCTGTCCATTAAAAGCATGTACAATAATAATGATAATTATGTTAACTGGACATCTCTTTTCTTTGTAATTTCAAAAGGATTTTAAAAACTTACCGTTCAGAGTCAGATCATTTCGTTTTGACGTGAAACTCAATTGTTTTGACATCTGGTGTTGCATGTTGGGGTTCTGATCCAGCATTTGGAAAGTCATTTGCCTTTGTAGGCAGGGCCACTTCAGCTGACCATCATTGTCACCAGACAGGAGCTGCACAAACATTCCAACATGTGTCTGGTAGAGTATAACTGCAACCCTGTAGGCATAGCCATCTTTGGAGTACTGCCGTGGACTGTACAATCTGGTTCCAGATTTACTATTATTTAAACAGTTCTCAAARTCATCAACCTGYAAAATAACATGTGGACACTCTGTCTCTGAGAGGTTGATGTCATCAATGGAGAAGCCTCCTGTAGAGTTTTTAAAGYGTTTCCAAACCTCAAACACAACCTGGAACTGCTTGGTTGAATTCAGAGAAACATGGTGGAGCTTCCAGTGAGATGTTGGTGGGCCTGCAGGGTGGGTTCTGGATTACTATGCTGAGTTATTGAAATTTCATCAGGTGCACAAGTGACAATGCAAAGTGTCATTACCAGTGATCYGTTCCATGAGTTGAAGAGTTCCTATGGAGTCCTGTTCATCTTCAAACTCTCTGATCCAAATGTTGAGTTCATCTGAGTTGTTTCCACTGTAATGATAGTAGAACTGCAGACACTGGACCCTACATTCTCTTTTAGGGCTAAATCTTTKTGTTTCCAGTTGGACTGAATCTCCTTCTTGACCCAGTGCAGTGCTGGTATGAACAAAGTGGCCTGCTTCCTGGTCTGTATAAAGTTCAACATAATTGTGAAAAACACATTACAGGTCAGGAGAGTGCAGTTTTAGATTACAATGTAATTTCATCTTTTAAAAAAAAGAAGCAGAATTTTGCAACAAAAAATAAAATGTCCTAAAACTTCAAACGTGTTTTTGCTTGTGTTTGAGAAAATAAAAACATGTTTTGTGACACTTTTAGTTATTTTAAAATGTAATTATTTTTTACAGTAGTTAGAATTACACTGAAAGTGAACTTACAAAACAAATACATAAATAAAACAATCTGGACTGATTTATTTAAAATTTCTCTGATTTAGTGATTTGCAACAGGGTATGGAAATCTATAATTACCATTATTGCCATTCCCACTGGGTAAACTGGTGTGATCAGAGCTTGGACCCCCATCTACTTGTGTAACCACTTCCCAGCGACTKCCGTTTTGAGACTTCTGGCTCATTTCACACATCGTCCCATTAGAAAAATCACAGTTAAACATAAAGGCAACTGTTGAATCTGAGGAAATTAACAAAAATTGCAACATTTTTATAAAACGTACTCTAGGCCAGATTTCTCTTGTGACAAATATTCATAATGAACATGTATGGAGTATGTGAGGAGCCCCAAAATGTGAATTAACAACTAAACAATAATAATAATAGGTACCTGCTCAAAACCTGTAATAGTTTAATAATACTAGTATCGTACAATAAATGTTGTGTTGTAGTGGTTCTTGTAATTGAATTATATTCACATTAGAATGGAATTTTTTAAAGTGGAACCAGACATTTTTGAGCGGTGGATCAATAACTTACATCTCAGTTATTAAAGTTCAGGTGCAAATTTATGTTTTTCTTTTCAATTCTTATTTAACATGAGCAACATTACAAAATAGAAAATAAACTTTCTTTAAACACTTACTGCATTTGTAGAGAAGATTTAACTCCTGAATGTCTCTAGGACTCATTCCCAGTTCTTGACCAATTACATCTTGGTATTTTGGGTCTATGGTAATGATTGTGGAGCCATTGCCATTGCTGAAYGCATTTTTTCCATAGTGCATCACTGACCAGTAGTCATATGGGACTCCATGGGTGGTGCTGTTTTCTCTATCAATTGTCTCAAATTCAGACTCATGACCTTGAAATCACATAAAAAAGCCAAAAGATTGTCAAATATAAATGTTAAAATTAACCAAAAATCAATATAGAATATTGCAATAAAATATCTTCAAAAAAGTTCCAATAGAACATAATTCATAACAACTTAGCACTTGCAAAACTGATATGCTTCACACATATTACACATTTAAAAAGAAAAAATAGAATATTCAAGCAAAAGTGTTGAACCTTTCAAAACGTTGCCTAATACAATCTTCACATAATCGTCTTTGTCATATCGAGACTGTTCATGTTGGAAACCAAGAGCATGAAGAACCTCATGTTCAACAACGGCAAGCAAATCACAGCCTATTCCAATAGAGAGGTTCTGCCCATTTGTGAATTCTCGGCCAACAWATGAAGAACACCTAGAATTGAAAAAATAAAAACACTGGTCAGTAATAACCCATTTTTTYCATTATAAAATCAAAGCAGAAGTAKAATWTAAAAATATCCGGTTACAGTCAGGATCTGTGTAAAAATATAACATACCACCCTAAATTTTGGATAGAGAGGTAATAGTCCTCAGAGTCCTTTTCTTTAAAGTCGACACATGACTTTATCCTGAACTGGTCAAACGCTCTCAGGATGATTCCTTTGGCATTCATCTCTTCCATTGTCCACAAAATTGCAGTGTAAATATAAACATACAAATGTTAAACTTACAAAGGTGGATTTACTTTTACCTGTTAGACCAACAGGTAACCAAAAACATTTTATTTTACACATTAACACACATACAGTATATATGAATTACAAACAAAAACAAAAATGCTATTTACCCAGGTTACGGTCCAAAACATAAGGAACTGGGGACGGCCACAGTTTGTCCCCACCAAGTGTTGTACTTCTTTTTCTGTTTGGAGCCTGAAATAAAAGAGGAATAACACATTTAGACACTAAACATGCCTTACTTTTATTTTTTAACAAAAAAAATGTTTTGGACTTGCCTTCCAAATATCATCAAGTACTAGATCTAAGATAAAAGTTATTTGAACACATAAATCAGACGCTTGATCAGAAATACATTTTAATGCAAGAACAAATAAACAAATAATCAAAAGGTCAATTAAAAATACATTTAAAAAATAATATTGCATTACCTTTACTGTTCTTGCTTTCACTGATGTCTACAAAAAACAGGATGCAAGTTCATGAAAAATGTATGATTTTTTATTATGATGATGAATAAACAATAATAATGCTTACCCACTATGTCTGGTTTTATCTGGATTAAAACAATACAACAATACAAAAATAAGTTATTACAGTATATTTAAGCATAAATCCAATTTTGAACCAACACTGTGTGTATTAAAGTTTGCAAAGTAAAACAAATCCAATATTACAAGTATTTTAAATTAAGTATGTGTTATGTGACCAATGATATGCCTTTCATAAAATGTTTTTTTTGCATTTACTTTGCATCAGCTCATGTAGCTTCTACAAAAAAATTCTAGATAATTTCAGGCAATAATTATTCATATCCTAGACTCAAAGATATGCAAAAATTCAGAAACTCCAGAAACTGATTTGATTTATGAATACTTACTGTGCTTGCAGGAATAATTTAAAATCAGTTTAATTAACCTGTTATTTTACATAGGAGAAGCATATTGTGACAGTGAGAATGCTGTACACGCAACATTGTACAGAACTTGTCACAAGTTATACAGAGAACTGTGCTCAGCCTGTGTGATACGACACATTTAACCATCAGCACTTAGAAACTCAGCTGCAACATTTTACTGGTTGTTCAAAAACTTTGACCRCTATAATTAAATGTGTGCAAAGTTGAATATTTGCAGCTTATATGTGATTACTGCTGTTTTAGTTTTAAATGCATTGTTCAATTCAAAGTCCAAATTTCCACTACAGTTGCTTTTATTGACGTTGAAAGACATTTGATAAACCAGTTTTGATCTGATGTTAAACAGCTTCTATACTTCATTTTTTAATGTTGAATACTGATGCAATCTGTAAAACAAAAGTTTTAAAGTACATATAGAAATAAAAGTACTTACTATGTATATAGAAAATGCTGCTGGGAGAACCAAGATTATAAGAAAAACACAGCCTTTCATCTCCATATTGAGTATTGGGCTAAATGAATGGGAACAATTGAGACACAGTATGCATTTAAATTACTTCACTTAAATTTGATTTGATTTAATAAATAAATACACACCTGCTTACCTTCAGCCACGTTGCCTGTTCAACTTCAAATGAGAAGCTCATCAACCTCAGAAAGGTTTAAGCCAACAGCAAAACATAATATCAGATGTGTCAGCATGCTGGTTATTGTTTCTTTTTTTTTTTTTTTTAGATAAAAATGTCCTGTCTCATGCTTTATTTTCACATGTGCTTTGGACAAATAAATGCTTTAGTACTACTCTGTTGTGTGTAAACAGTTTTAAGTTTTTCTAGCTTCTTATAAAAGGCTAATTATTGCAGGCTGTGTGAATGTGATTTATTTTTTATATCTTGATTTAAATAAGTATCAAACTCAAATATGCAAAGACCAATATGTATACCAAGACATTTGTTTTGGACAAAATATAGTTGCTGTGGAGATTGTATTTTTCATTGCAATAGACAGTGTGCAAATAATCAATTTTAATACAAAACAAAAGTAACAAAAGATGACATTCTTTGTTAAAATTTTATTACTGACATTTGTCAGCTGACATTGTAGACCTTGTGAAGCTTTGAGAATGTTTTTAGTCACAATTTAAAACCTATGCAGTCATATTAATATGAAAATCTAACACATTCTTAAGATTGCAGGTCTCTTGCAAGGAATGCCCAGACCTGGAGGCAACCTTTTGTACATGTATTTGATCTGCGGGAGACTCTAGAGTACCTGGTCAAAATCCTTGCAAACACCAGGAAAACATGCAAACTCCACACAGAAAGACCACAAGTGTGAATCGAAAATTGAACCAGGACCTTCTTGCTATGAGAGAGCAGTGCTAATCACTGAGCCACCATGTTGCCATAATCACTTTAAGGGCTCGACACRCGGGAGGCGACGTCGCTCGCTCTCCRTTCATTTCCTATGTAGCCTGTGCCTCCTCCAGCTAAGCGACCGGCGAAAATAGTGCATGTGAAATTTTGCGCTCGTACACGTAGACGTGCACACGCGAGCTTGCGACGTGACAAATGAAAGCTGAAAAATGTTCAACTTTTGTCGCTGTCACTTAGCGTACAACCAATCAGCGAGGGTTTCATTGACTGACCAATGAGAGGAGAGTATGCTACACACTGCAGTTAGCTAACACTTTCACCTAGGGATTACTAAAAAAGGCAGCTTTGTGGGAATTTGTTGGCACCAGGGTGAAGTTTATGGTAAGTTTTTCCTCATAAAATTGTATCTTGATGTGCATTTGTTTGTCAATATCATTAGCATCGCAAGATTTGTTTAGTTTACATGTCCGTGATGCACACCCGCCTTCAGAGTTGAGAACCAATCAAATTTCGTGAAGACAAGCGACCTGATTAGGGCTCGACACGCGGGAGGCGACGTCGCTCGCTCTCCATTCATTTCCTATGGAGCCTGTGCCTCCTCCAGCTTAGCGACCGGCGAAAATAGTGCATGTGAAATTTCGCGCTCGTACACGTAGACGTGCACACGTGAGCTTGCAACGCGACATATGAAAG